GGGAGCATGGTCCAAGCTACCGGTGGTTAGGGCTCCAGAGACAGAAACCTCCTCACAATGCGCGCCGTTTCAAGGAGAACTGCCTTCTGTATCAGGCCCTTGACCCAACTGCCTAACGCTAGCCTCCTAAGGTGATCGTCGAGGCTATTAGGGATTAACCCGTTGGCCGACACGACTATCGGCACAATGATAGCCGAATCTACATTCCACATGTCGACAACCTCGTGAGCCAAATCAAGATATTTGATTTGTTTATCTTTTTCAGCTTTCACGAGGTTCTCATCATGAGGAATAGTGATATCGATTATCATCGTGCGGCGTACTTGTCGGTCTATCACCACTATATTATCAGGTTTGTTGGCTATAATAGTCCTGTCAGTGATGATAGACCGGTCCCAGTACAACGTGATACGGTCATTTTCCAGAACTGGGTCGGGCACATACTTGTAGTACGGTACCTCAGACTCAACAAGTCGATAGTAGGTATATATTTATTATAGATATTATTTATTATTATTATTATTGGCTACCTAGGGTAATAGTTTATGAGATTTCAATAAAATTATGTTGTATTAAAAATTCTGTTATCGCAGCATAACTAAAAGATGTAACATTATCTAATTTCGGATTAACCATAATTGTGTAAAAAACCTATTTTTAATCGACTATTCACAAACCTGTTAGTTATATAGTCTACTCGCGTACCCTTTTGGACAACCCTATAAATTCTCCGTTCCGCGATGTAGGTTGCTGGAAGATAATTTTTCATTAAGCACAATAAATATACAGTTCACCTTTACCAAACCTAAGCCGACAATATCTAAAAACAGTGGGTATCGCCACTGTATAACAGGGCACGCCACCACTAAACTTATTAGTGAAATAGGTTATTTCAGTTTGGGCCCAGTGAACAACAAACGCTTATCAAGCAAAAATATCGGTATAATTTGCAAAATAATCAATCAGAATGGGTGTACCTAAATTCTTCAGGTACACAAGTGAGAGGTACCCTTGCCTCAACGAGCTGGTGAAGCAGTATCAGGTATGGACTTGATCTTTAGAATTATTCAATACATACCCTTGTATGAGAAAATAATATTTCATAATAAACTGTAACTATTATAAAATCTTATTGTAATCTTGTTACATGTTATTGTTCTAATTTGAGCTTCTTTCTAACTTATCATGTTTCAATAATAGGAATTTGTATGTGTATTAGTATAATAGTCTCACATAATTTGTTATTTAGGTAGTTCCATGACTGAAATGTACCTTTGGAATAGCTTATTTGCTTCTCATGCTGTTAATCATATATTTACAGATTCTCAGTAGAGTTTGTTGTAGGCCACATGTCTATCATAGCAATAAAAAAGTTGCAAATATTTCCAAAATAATTGCACAACTTTTGCCATACAATGATAACATATGTCACACAGCTTAACTCGTCGAGTACCGGTTTTGTAGACACAATTATAGAACAATAGGTTGCGGTCACTGGTGACCGCTTGGTGTTTGACAGTTTAATGGTCCCATTATACTTGCAAAAAAAATATGCATCCGAAATGTAGGTACTTTTTATATAAAACCTTATTTGCATGTTATGGTGCAAAATTTAATCAATATTGCCTCTAGCTGTATTTCATATCCTGAAACTTATGAAGGACTTAATCCTTCCTTCTTGTAGATATAAATGAGTTGATAAAGTCTATAACACATAGCTAGTTAAAAAATAAAGTAGGTACAATATCTACCCTACATTTCTCTTAAGACTTTCACAATAACTTTGACCCTCTTTCTCCTTGTTAAATTTTTCCCAAAATATAAACCTGCATTTAGATGTGTAGAACAACAATAACAAAATGACATTTATTAATAAAATCACCAAAATCAAGTATTTGATTAAAATTAAATAAACACCATACCATAATTAAAAATAGAGACAGGATTACACGAAACCAAAATCTGTTTTAGTTATTTTAATACATTGATATATCATCCTCTTAATTTGTTCATACTAAAGTTGTCTCATAAATATCAGGAATACGGTCTATAATGGAGTTAGGGGAGATCGTTACCGGTGACCGCTTTGGGATTGAACAGCTCTATATGAATTTCATAAAATTCTTAAAACCTCTTTTGTCATTTCAGATACCAGACTTTGACAACATGTATTTAGACATGAATGGAATAATTCACAACTGTTCACATCCTGATGATTCAAACCCACATTTCCGTATAACAGAGAAGAAGATTTTCGAAGACATCTTCCATTACCTAACCATACTGTTTCAAATTATTAAGCCTAAGAAATTATTCTTTATGGCTATTGATGGTGTTGCTCCTAGAGCAAAGATGAACCAGCAGAGAGGCAGAAGGTAACTTGACATTTATCATTAGTTATATAAAACAGTCCCCTTCCATGTTAGTTTGCCTGTTTGTATCTGGGTCCTGAGGAAAGTTTACATGTCTAGTTTTGACCACACAGATGAAACTGCTGGTGGAAAACTAGTTAGAAATTTTTAATTCTTTACTATACAAAGGCTTGATCCTAAGGAGGTGGAAATGAACACCTTATAAACTCATTTTTTAAAAATTAACAACATTTATTAAGCTTGCGAACTATACATGACTATAAAATCAAGTGACTATTGTCCCATAATTTTATTATTTGTTAAGAATGTTTAATGTCACACTACTTAATCAAGTGAACCTTAACTCAGTCTTTAACTCGTCGAGTACCGGTTTTTTAGACACAATTATAGAACAATAGGTTGCGGTCACCGGTGACCGCTTGGTGTTTGACAGTTTAAACTGTCAAACACCGGTGACCGCAACCTATTGTTCTTTAATTGTGTCGGTACTCAAAGGGTTAAATTACTTACTAACTGAAAACCTAATTTGTGTGTGTAATAATTATTTAGGTATAAAACTTCTGTTTATGATGAACTTCCTTACTGATAAACAATGCCCAGCTGAGCATAGAATAGTCATAAGCTATTATATTATTGTATCTTTAGTTCTCTACCAAGAAAAATATTTTTTAAAGCGTTTTTTTTGGTTTCATAAAGTAAATATTTTATTTTGTTCCTTTCATTGCTATTTAGTATTTTATTAGTAAGTATCTGTTGCTCGCAACTTTGTCCGCGTATAATATGAATTTTAGGACATACAGCTTATTTTTTGCTTGTAAATCAGCTACCTTCCAGTGAAAGTGTAGTCAAAATCGGTCCAGCCATTTTAGAGATTAGCCAGTACAAAACGACAGACGTGTCTGATGCTTATGCATATCATAATCGGAGTCGCGGAGAACCTAACGGGTAACCGGGGCTCCGGCTCGACGTGCAGGAGAAGGAATGGGGTGGTTCTAGTCAGTAAGAGTCTGACACTCCCTCCCGCCTCACTCAGGCGGGAGCAGTCATTCGATGATTTTCCCCCTTAAAAAAAATAAAAAAATGCATATAATAAAGCGGTTATTTCAAAATTACAAACAGACATTCCAATTTTATTTATCTGTGTAGATAAACCATACAATATACTATTTTTCAATATTATAGGTTTAGATCAGCAAGAGAAGCAGAGAAGTTAGAAGAAGACGCCAGAAACAAAGGTATTTTGGAACTTTTTTTGGTCCAATTATTTATTAAATTGAGCAATTGTTACAGAATCGTCTGTACTACCATACTTATTTACATATTTATATCAATCGAATAGTGCAGAATATTGATTATCAGATGGTATTTTCTTTACGAGTACCTTACAATTTGTACCATAAAAAATACAGTATTTTCAAAGTTCAAATGGCTACTATAATTGTATTGTATAATAAAGTCACCATTTCAACGGCTTAATCAATTTGTTTGCTTGCAAAAATATGCTGTCAGCAATGCAAGACGCGAATATTTAACGTGCAAGCCAGCTAAGCAAATAAAATTGTGTGAAAAATACTGTGAAGTTATAAGTAACTGCCTATTGTCGGAATACTCAAACGTTACTCAATTTTAAGTCGCGCTGAAGTATAGTTCTGTCTCTACAAATTCTTTGTGAAATGATAGAGATGGCATGATATTTAAGAACGACTTAAAATTCAGTAACGTTTCAGTATTCCGGCATAAGTATCTGAAACAATTTTTTATTAACTATCATTGAATGAAACTGCTACTCACGCAAATTCGAGATCAAGATAAGGTCTACTAGTTTGTAGTCACTTCGGGAGTCTTATTCATGAGCACCATTCTCAAGACTCGCAAGACGGTGACGCGACGTGGAGTAGCCTCGGTAGCCTCAAAGTTGCATATTTCAAGTACCTAATTTAGTATATGTTTGTGCAAAGGCGAAACACTGCCATCGGAGAAGCGCTTCGACAGCAACTGCATCACGCCGGGCACCGTGTTCATGGCTCGTCTACACGAACAGCTCAAGTACTTCGTCAAGTCCAAGATTTCCACCGACCCCCTCTGGGCTAAAGTCAAGGTCATACTATCTGGACATGAGGTGAGAGATTGGCTAACTACATAATATACTTACATTTTGGGAGACTTTTGTTCTATATGTATCTTCAGAATATTTCTCCTCTTTTCCTCTATTTTATTACGTCATCATTGTATGAACTTCTTAATTTTTATATCATTCCTCAAAGACATACTATCATCTTAGGATGTCCTCTACTTCTCCACCCAGCTTCATTTAAATTTAGCATTATGATATCTGTGACTTTAAACTTAAATTGACTTCAAAACCAATGTAACAAAACGAAATTACAACTCTACAATTTCGTTCCTAAGTTAAATAGAATAGTCTTTGTAAGTAAATATTTAAGAGTTACAATGGAATTTCAAAATTATAAAATATAATTCCTTTTAAGTTCAATGAAAACTACACTTTACGTGTAAGCACTGAAGGTCAATAATTGAATGTTGTAAACAGACGCCTGGAGAAGGTGAGCACAAGATAATGGACTACATCAGATGGTCGCGGTCTCAGCCGGACTACGATCCCAACACGAGACACTGTCTGTACGGACTGGACGCTGATCTCATCATGTTGGGCATGTGCACACACGAACCGCATTTTGCACTGCTTAGAGAAGAGGTAAGCTTCGCTCAGTCCTGTATAATATCAGAGAATAAATAACTTGTGTTTTGATACTTTGAAACTTAGGTACTCACTTATTAAAATCAGTTTAAGTTCAATCAGCTTATTAAATTCATTCGTATTTGATTTTAAAGTAATGAGGTGAAGAGAACACAATATGGTGACGAGTCCTTCCTTCCTATTGTTATTCGAGAGCTGTGAAGTGAGATTACCTTGCTTTAATAGTTTGTAGGACTAAATAGAATAGACGTTACGAATAGGGTGCGAGTATTGTCTAACTCTCTTTTTTTGTTACTATGCACTAAAACCAGCATGTTGACAAAACCAATCTGCATATAAGTTCACATTCTGCACCACCCAATGGTCGACTATCAGAGAATGCCGACGGCAATAAGCCCGCCAATTTCACAGTATATGTGCAATAAAGTTTAAATAGATAAGTAACTTAGGTAGAAGAGTAGCAAGAAACTCCATTAGTTTCTTGCTCGTTGTTCTCCATTCGAATCTACATTTTGGAATGAGCACCAAGCTTCACTGACGGACTGACTGACAGACTATTATTTATTTTGTATTTCTTGACGTTTCAAAAGTACCAAATTATGGTTTAATTGAAATAAATGACTTTGATTTTGAGACGGCTTCATAAATATTCACCATTACTTCAATATCTACTAAAATATAATTTAACAATAGGGTAGATGACCAATTTTTATTTTAATGTCCGTCTGGTAGATTATTTAAAAATATTAGACACGTGTTTTTATTTTCTTACGGAAACGAATACTTTCGATGGTATATTGATTTTAAATATAGCATGACGTCTCTTTTGAATGTACCTAAACTTTGATACGTTTTATCTAAGTATTGTTTTCTTATA